AGGGTAAGTGTAATTATAACCCATATGAGGGGACTTATAACTCCACTTATAGCTACCCATGAACCTCCAAGTAGGGCTGGAGTTACGTTTTTTTGGTGTTACCGCTTAGGATTTAAACTCCTACATACTCCCTAGGCCCTCGGCCTAAACCCAATTTCCTTCGTGGCGTATAGCCTGTGTTGGCTTGGGAGTCCCACTTCCGATGCAGCCCGTGACATGGGCATCTATAGGTTTAAGTTGCTGAGGGTTGTCGGGAGTTTGGAGTTAAGACTGCGCGGATAGAGGCTTCCCAGGGCTTATGGCCTTGTACAGGGTCTACGGTGTCAGGGCGGGATTTTGGAGCTTCGGGTTTCCCTAAAACCCTAAATCCTAAACCCTGAAGCCCTGAAACCTTAAACCCTAAACTCTAAACCCTAAACCCTAAAACCCTCAAACCCTTAACCCTAAACCCTTAAACCCAAAACCCTAAAACCCTAAGCCCTAAATAGGGTTTCGGGCTTGGGGGCTCAGAGTTTCAAGCTTACCTATAGTCTCCATTAATTGTAGTTCCTTTTTGGGGTTCCCTTATAGGATCCTAAGTATAAAATTGACCCACTTTTGGGGTTACCTTATAGGATCCTAGGTATAAAACTTTGCACCTTATAGGACCCTAACTAGCAAAGTTAAGTTGTCCGAGGCTCCTGGGTTGAGAGTTCTGATTCTGGCTCGGGTCGGCTGAAGGCTCTGATGTTTGTTGAGGTTTGGGCTTTGGGGTCACAGGGGAGGTGCTACTAAGAGCGGTCTAGTTCAGATCGTAGTGGGATTTTATTTTTTACCCTGTACTAGCTCATACTTCCTGCCAAGTACTGGCATGCATCCGAAAGAAATGTGGCTCCCCGAGCGCTGTCGCCTTGGGACCGGAGGTCCAAATCCTCAACCAGAAACTGCGATGCAAGTCCGAAAACACACTAAGCCCTATACCCTAAGCCCTAAACCCAACACCGCAAACACCCACAGATTCTGAACCTGCAAGCCCAAACCCCAAAACTTGACCTTCAATCATAAACACAAAAACGCGGTACCCGTGCTCCTAATTCCTGAGTTTTCGGTTCTACCCCTCGGCATGAACATAGCCCAAAAGCCTCATGTAATAGGATCTTTGGGCCCAAAAGCCTCAAAATATGAGTCCGTAGCGGGTAAGGGTACATTCTCCTCCAGCAAGTGTCAACCCCAACCCGACACCCCGAAAGCCGTTAGTTCAAGTCATGAGGGTTTCCGAAAATAGGGGACGCGAATGTAGCACCCTAAACAGTAGGATCCTTACAATAAGGACCACCAAAATAAGGTAGCCCTAATTTTCGGGAAACTCCCTTATGCGAACGATTATACTGCGAACCCTTGCAATCTTGGAGCACCCCGGCGGACATGGAATGCTGGATAGCAAGGAGGCTTGATTTCTTAAACCCGCAAAGCCCTTATAAATCCTAAACCCTAAACCCTAAAACCCTAAAGCCCTTCTTCAGTGCCTCATGCACTGAGTCCACGAAGTCCGGCTTGGAAATGCCACGCTCAAGCTCGGCCAAAGTCTCCTGTAAGTTCGCGGGAACTTGGGAGTCTCAGCTCAGGCGTTGAAGGCTTCATAGGGCTAGAAACCCATAGGCCCCATAGTAGTTCCTTTTTGTGGCTTAAACTTAGGACCCTACTAGGGAATCCCAGAAAGGAACTATTATGGGGCCCGTGGGAATGCATCTCCAGGTGTTCCAGTGATTGAGGCTCTAGGCTCATAGGGTTTAGTGTTTCGAGGACTCAGGGTTTACAATGGCTTACACTTGGAGGTTCATGGGTAGCTATAAGTGGGGTTATAAGTAGGGAAACTGTAATTATAACCCATATTAGGGACTTATGACTCCACTTATAACTACCCATGAACCTCCAAGTAGGGTTTAGGGCCTCAGGCCTTGATGACCTTTAAGGGTCCCAAGCTTCGGGATTTCTGACTCCCGAAGCGTAAGGCTCGGGGTTTAGCACCTTCCGCTCTCTTCTTCAGCGTTTGCTGAGTCGTGGGGCTATGTGGCATGATTTTTCTGCAGTTGCACTTGGAGGTTCATGGTTATAAGTGGGGTTATAAGAGGGCAGCTGTAGTTCTAACCCATATTAGGGGACTTATTACTCCACTTATAACTTCCCATGGGCCTCCAAGCTGGGGCGGGGGCGGCATGTTTAGTCTTCGTGCTCATTGCAGTCCCACATGGTCAGGTCTGGCTCTGGAGCCCCAAACTCCTCACAACCCCGAACTGAGGTCCGTGAAAAGCACGGACCACCGCTGAATGCCAGAACCCGCAAACCCGAAGAACCGCGTCACATGTCACATCAACATACCCCAAACTCCTGCGACCCACGCTGCATGATGCAGGGGCCTGTATTTGTATAGGGTTTTGTAGTACAATATATGACAAGTATATAGGGACTCCAAGGGGATACCATTACCAGTTCTGCCCACCCCTAAACCCTAAACTTACCCTAA